ACACAAAGTACAATACAAGCGATTAAAATAGCCAACAGACACACAGGTCGAGAGGGGAAGGGAACTCATCAACCCCAGGCCTGCCGACACAGCCAAGTTTTAACTTTTCGGAAGTGCTATAATTACTACAGCCTTAACTAGAATGAAAGCAGTATTTAGATTTTTTGTATCCTGTAATAACTCAAGGTCATGAACATACTAATAGCAATAGCACTTAGACTTATATACCGCTCAACAGTGCTTTTACAGCCTTCTAAGCGGTTTACAGAATCAGTCTATTGACCCCAACAATCTGGGTCCTCATTTTACCATACTCAGAAGGATGGAAGGCTGAGTCAAGCCTGAGCCTGCTGAGATTCGATCTGCCAAATTGCGGACAACCGGCAGCCAGCAGAAGTAGCCTGCAATACTCCATTCTAACCACTACACCATTGAGGCTAATACTCCTTCCTCCTCCTATTTTCCCCACAATATTCCTGTGAGGCAGACTGGGTTGACAGAAGGTGACCAATCAAAAATCACCCAGCTGGCTTTCATGCCTTAGGCAGGACTAGAACTCATGGTCTCCAACTGATGCCTTCACCATAAGGTTAAAAGGATCCAACCAAGAGGTTCTAAACGGATCCTGCCTGCTAGGCAACAACTTTGTGTCACTGCTTGTGGAAACACATGGCTCCCCAATGGATCTTTATGCACCATTTTTTTTTTTAATACTAACTTCTTCCCTCTTTAGAAACATGTATGTGATGCCAGAAACCATGGCTGCATCACAAGCAAGTGATGTATTTCGTGAGAGATATGGGGAACAGATTATCACAAACCTGAAAAGGTTGTGCTTGCAAGTGTCCTCTGGCTCATGTTTCAAATAAAATCATGGTTCCTATAAAGAACTTCTATAAAGTTCCTATGAAGTCCTTCGCTCTTTTATATCTGAAGTTTGCCTGTATCCGAAGTTAAAATTAACTGCAGGGCACTGCAGTCATTTGCTGTGGCCACCCTTTCATCTTTTCCTCCCTCCCATTCTGCTCACTGTCAAACATAATTTGTAAGATCCTCGGGGGCAGAGAACTGATAGAACTGATTAATGAGCTTCTTGAGCAAAACGTTATGCGCAGCATAACAAAGCAAATAACACAAAGCAGCATTGACGCCAGAGATCTAGCCCTCCCTTCATTGTGGGGGTAATAAAATATGGCCTTCCCTTGCACACGGATGTGAACTTTTGCTGTCCTTCAGCTGCGGGCTGGAAACTTCATCATCAACTGTAAAACCCCTTTGATCTGCCAGACATAATAAGAGAGCACTGGGAGCGTCATAAGAAATGATCGGAACAGAACTGAAAGCTATTGAAAATCCCAACTCTTTGCTGACATGCTTTGCTCTACTTTAATTTTAAAAAAAAACCTTGCTGAAACTAGTTTATTCATCCCAAACCTGCTAAAACGTTTTGGCTCATGCAACTCAGCCACTCAAGAGATTTATCAGAAAGTACATATGCCAAATGCAACTTACTTGGCTCTCGCTATCCGTAGGCGATTGCGTTTCAGCACAGTGGTCAGCATGGCTGGTAGAGTTTCTTTCTTGTCACCTGTCCACTGATGGCACTTAAAGGGCGACCTGGGGCATGTTGGTCCTTGCCTCTACAGGGGCTCAAGATTCTGCAGCACCCTTTGGGATCTCCCAATTGTCCACCCCGCTCCAAAGAGGCAGAAGAGTGACAAATAGTGGCACTGTCCTCTTGATCGGCACCCACTGCTCTGACTCAGGCGTCCGTTCTGGTATCTAACTACTAGCAGGGAGGAAGCTGTCTTGTAATCACACTGTGGGACAGAACTTCCTTTGCGTGCACGCCTTCTCTGCACAACTTTTCCTCTGAGCGCTAACCTTCCGATGCAAGTGAGTAGTCCGAGTCCGGCTATTGGGACCTCACTGACAGATGCACAGCTGAATCCATGCGAACTCCACGGAACGCTGCCCAAACCGGCCCAGGATTCTTGTCTATCAATCAACAACAACCCTACCATTTTGGCTTCCTCGGTGTCTTTTCAACCACCAAACCAGCAGTCTGGGATATGGGAATATCGCCAGAAACACGTTGACACATAATGTTATCCATCCACACAGCACTCGCTCAGCTTCTCCACCTCCCCCCTCTCCCCCGCATCCTCCCTTGAGCTGCGTTCTCCTGAGTGTGGGTGTGAGAGAGTGGTTGTTTTATTTCCGGCCAGATGACAGAAAGGAGACAGGCCTCCAGCAGATTAGCTTGGGACTCTGGGACTCAGCTTACTGCTGAACAAGCAAAGAATGGCAAGCCAGAGGACACAGGAGGTTCTCCAGCTAATGCGTAGCAGGCGAGCCAACTCTTTGTGTTAACCAGCTGCTGCTATTGCTATTAGTAGTTGCTCAGCCCCAGCCATGTGAAAGAGGAAGGAGAGATTGGGCGGGGGATGCAAAACCAAGAACAGAGAGCAAGAATCAAGGAACAGTAGAAGAGTACGGGTCTACATCTACACACACCACACCATACCACCTAACAAGGAAACACAGCTACTTTTTAAAAATATTTATAGCCCAGATCTTATGGCAGGTTACAATCCACATAAAAGGCAAGGCAGAAGTCTAAAATAAATAAGAACTTAATTTACAACACACAGTAGGTAACCATGCCAATGATATCACTAAGTTATGTTCAGAGAACATGCTTAGCTAACTGGATCTGTTCAAGATCTAATGCCCTGCTTAGTTTTTACTACGATGGGCTAATATGCTATAGTAACCCAAGCTATAAAATTTGATGATTCCCTGGACTACATCCACCTTCTAAACTAGTGGCTTGAGTAAGCAGGTCAAGATATCGTGTGAATGAAGCCACTGAAGGGACAAAAGGCGACATTAAACTGTAGATGTTACATTCTGAACACAAGAGTCAAAAGTCAGACGTTTCTTTCCTGCTGAAAAGTTGAGAAAGGCAGCCCTGGTGTGGCCTGCAAAGGTAGCCAGAGCAATCAAGGCCATGTCCTGCATCCCAATGTACCTCGCTCAACCGTGGACACCCCACCCCCCCCCCCGTAGATTTTAGGCTTGAGAGTAATCTTTCCTGGAGAGGTGCTCTCTCAAATATGGGCTCCTAAAGCATGAAGGCTCCTTTCCAAAGCTTGGAGTTTGCCAATTACATACAGCAGCCAGCACAATTATTATTATTATTATTTTTAAATAATATTTATTAAATTTTCCAACATTCAAAACACAAAACAAATTTACACCTACAACAACTTTTCCATATCGGAATCAACATCTTTCGTAACAATCCTATTTACAAAAAAACTCTAACTCTATATCACTATCCTAAATTATATCCTTATTTAAATTATAATAATATCCACTCACACATCAATATCATATACTGCTTATACATTTTGCATTTTATATATTATACGTTTACATCCTACACCTTAAGTTTTACGTTTACTCTCAAGCCAGGAGTACCATCTATTCCAAATTTGATAGTACTGATAGTACTATCAGCACACTTATTTTACACAGGACAGCAGAAGATGGGAAGGAACCTTTCCTTCTTCATTGGTGCTTCTTCTTTCCATCACCATTACCTGTGGTACAGTTTACTTGCATTTGGAGTGTATGGATTCTAATGAACTTCACACATCATCCTTTGGGGGAGGGGGAAACCTCTCTTGTTTGTTTGATATTATCCAAAATCTCTTGCCCATTTTTAAAGGTTTGTTAAAGGGAGATGTAATATAAGGGTTCAGAATGTAAAAGGGACTATCCCTTCTTGCGATGGAGAATATTTTTTCCCTAAATCATTTTACATGTCACAGGCAGAAAAGTGTGCCTGGTTCAGGTCTTAAAACATAGCTCCTGCTTTAAAATTAACCAGTTCCTCCAATTAATCTACAGACATTTCAGTTCATGGTTTAAAGAGAGGATATCTGCACGTCAATTCCATTGAAACCTAAGATATACTTCTGAGTAAAAGGGATTCGAGGGACGCAGTGGCTCAGTGGCTAAGATGCTGAGCTTGTCAAATCAGAAAGGTTGGCAGTTCAACGGTTTGAATCCCTAGTGCCATGTAATGGAGTGAGGTCCCCATTACTTGTCCCAGCTTCTGCCAGCCTAGCAGTTTGAAAGCATGTTAAAATGCAAATAGACAAATAGGAACCATCTTTGGTGGGAAGGTAACAGCGTTCCGTGTGCCTTCGGCATTGAGTCATGCCAGCCACATGACCACGGAGACGTCTTCGGACAGCGCTGGCACTTTGGCTATGAAACAGAGATGAGCACCGACCCCTAGAGTCAGGAACGACTAGCACATTTGTGCGAGGGAAAACTTTACCTAAAAGGGATTCTGTTGTGTGACTCAGTTATGCATTCACACAACACATTTAACCTGGTCAATTTTCTGGAAGGGGCATTCACACAAGTTATTGACTGTGAACAACTAGGCTGGGTTTGAACAATATACTCAACCAGAGGGGGGAAAAAACATATTTTGTATTCACAAAAGAGCAGATTGAGCCTGCTGCTGCTTCTACTTGCGGGAAAGTAATCTACCTGATGATCCAGTGGTGGATGATGAATGAAAAGAGCAACTTCTTCAATGCAATAGGAAGCAGCCATCTTGGCTGGCATCCCAGGCTCTCAAAATAAATCCCACAGTGATAAATCAGGGCTGAAGCCAGCAGGGGATGGCTCAGAGGGGAAAATCCTTTGCCCTTAGGAGGAAAAAGGAAGGAAACTTGAAAAAATACCCCCAATTTTTTCCCTCGACTGCTTTAAACTTTCATTTCTATGTCCCAAGGTCAAAAGGGAAATTCCACTTAGGGCTATCAGAGCGAGGATGCAGACAAGAAGACAACCACTGGAAGGCAGCAAACAAATAAAAAAAAAGACTGCTTTTACTGTCATCTAATGGCCAGCCAGATTTTACAGCGCTACTTAATTTCCTGTTCTTCATTCGCACAACATGAATCCAACACAAGGCAAGGTTATACAAAGGTATTTATTCTGGGCTTATATTCTGATCCAGAAATATTTGCACAACACTTTGAAATAACCAGTTAAACATCTCATAGGCAGATGTCACCAGTCGTTTACAAAAGCGGAAAGCCCTCTAACCTCCAGATGGAGCAATGGTGCGTGGAAGTTAGTTTCTTGTAAGACTAAGGAGATTTTCAAAGCAAGGGTACTTTCTAATTCAAATTTATTGGCACCCTTCCAAAAGCTGGCACTATGGGATGTCTGTTACTGCGGTGAGCAATGCAAAAGCCTGCCAGCATGGCTGGCAAAGTTGCATAACACAAACCCAAATACTATCTGCTTGTTATTTCTAGTCCATGGCATCTCTTCTACCTAGCTTTAAGTTGAATATTATGCCGTAACTTGAGGTGTCTTTTGCATAAGTCGCATCTGACAAAGGAACATCCAGGATATACCAGCAAAGGCCAAAGTACTAGAACATTTTGTTAGGTTTTGAACATAGAACATAACTGGACAGTCTTTAACGTGCAGGCTTTAAAATGTAGTGTTTAACATGACAAAAGCATCTCTCTCCCAGGCACAAGGCCTGGAGCAGCAGCTGTGCTTGTCTGAAATGCAGTTCAGCTTGAGCAAAGCATTGATTGGCTGATACCTAGGATGTCATGAATATACTTTCCCTTATTTCCCGGGGGGGGGGGGGAAGCAGAATTGCACTTTTTCTGCTAAAATATATCAAGGCTAATATTTAATCCAGGGTTGGATGAAACATTGCTGGGACTGTAATACTAGGTAACTGAGCAATCCTGAACACAGTTCGGATCAAGAGTGCTGATCAACTGTTCCCACCATGGTAAGACCTAGAAGCTGCTACAAGAAATGATGGTGATCATTGATTTGCAATGGCTGTAATAGATATTAAGCCAATTTATAGAGACCACACCAGGATAATTGCTTGCCTGCTTCTTGCTTGCTTGTGGTTTAGCATGTTGAGTGGAACCAGTCAATTTGGTTCACTGGTGTGATAATAGTAGTTAGATTGTTTGATTACTGGGAAATCATCAGATTGATCTTTGATCAGTTGCCTCCCTCGATGGCTCTGGCCCAGCTGTTACCTGTCTGCTCAATCTTAGAGCTGACAAATAAAGAAGAACTGCTGTTACTCAAAAAGCTAACCAGGATTCATGCGGTCCATCAATCTGGGTGCTTTTTCTCACTTAACACAACCACATTCTAGATGTCACAGAATGATCCAGATGGACAATTCTGACATTAGTATGGATCTCTACATGCCCTCCTTTCTTTGGAATCATAGGCAAGGAGATAAACCTCTGCAGAAAAACTTTCCCCCTAGACCACGGCTGTCAAACTCGATTGCATCAAAGGACGTATCGCGATGGATCGCAACTTTTTTTTGCCTTTGCAGAGCTGGGGTGGGTGTGGCCTGCGTGTGATTCATCTGACCTGCGGGCCACCAGTTTGAAAGCCCTGTTCTACACCCGGCAGGCCGCAGCCATCACAAAGACCTCCCCTACCTGAAACAGCTGGCATGCCAATCGGCGTTCAGGGCTTGCAAGTACTGACCGTCGTAGATGCTGTGGCTGCAACTGGCGCATATTGGCAGGTCACTTCCTGGGGAAGACAAAAAGAGGTAATAGAGGTAATTTTCTGCAGCCTAGAGAGGCAACTCAGCCGGAGTGGTATAACTCTGGATTCTGACCACAGACTTAGCTATTAAAAGTTAAAAAGTGCAAGTGTTGGTCCTTTTTCTCTTTCAACTTCCCGGGCTCTTGTGTTGACCCTAAACATTCAATTCTTTTGAGACAGTCCTTGCCAGAATATAGAATGGAAATCTAATACAGAGCAGAGTGCCTCTGAGAACATGCAAAAGGTTTTATCCATCAAAAACCTTGAGCTGAGCCTGCAGCTTCAAGCTTCTTAGTGTCTTTTTCCTCCAAAGCAGAGCCATGATTATCCTCCCCCTCCCTTTAAGAAGTGCAGAAAAGAGGAGAATTTGTTGTAACTTCTTGTAAACCACCCAGAATCGCTTATTCTGTGAAATGAGATATTAGATGGATAGATTGATATAGATAGGTAGACAGACAGACAGACAGACAGACAGACATAGATAGATAGATAGATAGATAGATAGATAGATAGATAGATAGATAGATAGATAGATAGATAGATAGCAATAGCACTTAGACTTTTGAAGTGCTT